CTCCATCCTTTACCCCAAGCACCGCACACTAACCTTCCTTCTTCTACTCCAAGCCGACATTTTCAGCCCCCACTCCATCCTCTATTGACCCTTATTTTGCACCGTAATTTCATTTGCATTCCTCTCTTCATCCTACTACCCACGTCCCTCCCACCCACCTCACTATACACTGTCTGTAGTAGATACTTTTGGTGTCCTATCCAGACACCTTTTACCAGACTGATATGTCTTTGCTTCCACTGCTGAGCATGTTGGCTGCTAACAGCCCATGCTGCCAAAGTCTCTTGAATAGGAACTTACTCACAAAAGTCCCATGGGAGACCTATGACTGATTGGCACAGGGATTCAAAAGGCCAGCTTCTTTGATTCAGATGGAGGCAGGGCTGGGGAGAACAATTCTGTAGTGATGCTCATGCTCCAAAGCTCCCCATGGGAGCAGGCTGAGAGGCCAGCCTTCTTCTGAACCCACATTTCTACTTAGCTTCTTTCCCTGCCCCATCCTGCTCACCTCACTTCCTCATAGGCTTCTCTTTAGAGCTATCCCTCAATAAATTGCTTGTGCAAATATCCCCATCCCAGGCTCTGCTTCTAGGAAAACACAACCCAAGAAATCATTCTGTCATGCCTTTGTCTTCATCCCCGTCCCCAAATCTGGAGACTGGCAACCAACCACCCGAATCTGGCCCACTGCCCATTTTTATAAAGTCGTGTCAGAACACAGCCATGCCCATTTGTTTACGTACTAATCTGCAGTTGCTTTTGTGTAACAGGAGAACTGAAGAGTTGCAACAGAGACTGCATGGCTGAAGCTGAAAATGTTTTCTAGTTGGCCCTTTACAGAAAAAGTCTGCCAACCCCCACCCAGTCCATCTGCACCTCCACCCCACCCTCCACCCACCATTCTGTCACCTCCATCGTAAACACCTTCATCCACATCGCACCCCTTGACCATCCACACCGTGTCCCAGCTACCCTCCCTGACTGCCCCGAGCAGCCTTCCTTTCCTCAGATGGTGCTGAGCCCCTAGCAGGCTGGTACTTCACCTCCAGGGAAGAGCACAGGAAGTTACTGAGATAAGCAGTGGGTTATGTGGGTTCTGGAAGCCGGGTCTGATGGGGATTGGGCTCTGGCCAAGGACTCAGGGCCAGGTATACACTCCACGCCTGAGGGCCTGAGCTGGGGAGGTGGTCTCGTGCTTGGAACAGCCTTGGCTCCAGGTTTGAGCCCGGACTCTGGGATGGGCCTTGGGGCCAACATCGGCCTGGGCTCTCTCACCTGTGACCAGGCTGGAGACAATGAGCGGCAGCACCAGCATCTGCAGCATCCGCATGAGAAGCTCTCCAGGGAAAGAGAAGTACTTGATCTGACGGTAGCTGAGCTGGTACGGGCGCAGGGCGAAGGCCAGGCTGACCCCTAGGGCCAAAATGAGGTGTCCACAGAGTTGAATTTGGTCACTGAACCCCAAGGAGAGGCCATCCATCCCAAGAAGGGTGTGTATGGATGGCGATGAGAGAAAGAGAAATATTCCATGAGCGTGTGTGTTTGTGGGTACACTGTGGAATGTATGAATTTATGTGTGACTGTTGAAATGTGTGTAAGTTTGTGTGTAAAATGTCTGCACACATCCATGTGCACATATGCGTGCATATGTAACAGTGTGTGTTCATCTGTGTATATGTACCTGTGCCTGTATATGAGGGCCCATATACATGAGGTGCACATGTTTTTCCTATGTGTGTATATAGGTGTGACTTGCATGTGTACACCACTATTTTCAAGGATGGGTGTACACGTGTACTTAAGCACATGTGTGCCACTGCATGTGCAGAGGAATGCATGTGCTTGTATGAATGTGTAAATTCTAGAATATATATGCAAGTACGTGTATGAGTTCACGTGTTTGCACCTCTAAGTTTTGTGCATGCATAAAAATGTGTTTATGTTTGTGTGTGTTCATATGCAGGAACTGTGTGTTTGTATAGTGCATACTTACGCATGTAGGTATACATGCATATACATGAGACCTCGTGTGCGCATACAGCTGTGTTTGCAGGAGTGTGTGCACCCATTTGTGCGAGTGTGTCCTAGGGCGGAGGGATGGTGAACGAGTGCAGGTGGAAATAAGTGGAGGGAGGAAATGTGGGAACTTCCCTCAAGTCCCCGCCCTCCAGGGGCAGAGCCTGCCCCTCCCACACGACTCACCGATGATCACGGCGCTGACAGTCAGCAGGATGAAGGCGTTCCGGAGCAGGAAGCGCAGCACGTGCTCGCGGGTCATGGTCTGCAGGCGCAAGCGCGTGCGCAGCGCTCTCTGCTGCAGGCTCTCCTGCAGCCGCTGCAGCCAGCCCACCCGGCCCAGCCGCTGGCCACTCTCCCGCAGAAACAGGCTGTTGCCATGGCTACTCATCGTCTATCTGCGGGAGACAGTAGGGCCCGGGCCTGGTGAGGGATGGGACAGAAGGATGTGGGTAGAGTTGGGGAAGGATGGAAGAAGCTGGTGAGGAACACAGAGTGTCCGGGCATGGGGAAGGGGTGATGTCGGTCTGTTGGGATGTGCCACCTGAGAACGCTGCCAAGGGTTCAAGGGTCATATCCTGGTAGAATAGGATCAAGGTCTCTAGAATGACTCCCAGGCATGGCTAAGGAGAGACAGAGAAATAGATCACAATATAATGGGTGTCTTTTGTCATTCTCTGACTCCAGCCCCCTCCTTACTTCACTAGATCATCACAAGCAATTGAGGGCTGCCCCAACTCAAAATTAACAAGCCTTTGCTGAGCACCAATTGCTTACAGAGCTTTAAAACAAGGCACTTCGGGGCAAGGCCCCCAAATTAATGTGGTTTGGTGTCTGGACTACAGGTGCTCTCAAGTGGGCTTTCCACAGGGACAAAATCAGCATGTGCCTGGCAAACAGGTCGTGCCCAATAAATGTAGCTGCTCTGTGTGAATGCCCAAGTGAGCAACAGGATGCATGGGAGTTGGGGGCGGGGGAGCGCCTTGGGATAGAAATGGTGATGATTCCTGACCACAATGGTTCTTCAGGATCCATCTTTGAAGTACTTCTGCAAATCTCAAAATCTTCAGATCCTTCTTTGATGTGATGGATGGATGTGATGTTCAGAGTCACTCTGGGGTGCCAGGCACTGACTCCCTAACTTCAGACTTTCCTGTCTCCTCTTTGCATTCAGCCATGTCCAAGATTGCTGCACGTGTAAGGGGAACTTGGTGTCCTCCAGCAACTCTCTGAGGGATCATGGCTTCAGATACCCCTCCTCACCCTCATCTCCAGCTCTACCCCAAGCCCTGAATCCATCCAGATCAGGCTGGGAGTCTGTCAGAGTTCTCAGTTCCACCAGCAGGTAAGTCCCTAGATTTTGGTGAGATCACTATCTTCCCTGTCCTCTTTCACTCTCCCCACATCCCAGGGATGGGGCACCTGCCTTGGCTTTCCAGACCCTGCTTCCTCCAGGTTTAAGTCCTGGTTCCCAATGTCAAACCCCAACTCCTAAGGATCTGTTACTTGAAACCACAATAGTGTCTTTCAGCTGGTTGTGAAAAATCCCAGACAGGGGTCCACAGACCACAAAGAAAATGTGAAATTTCTCCCCCGCCTCAAGGATGTATGCTCCCAGTCACTAAGCAATAGTGCGAAGCTGCCCATGGGTCCCTAGGGAGTGTTCAGCTGAGATCCAAACTAGTTACAAAAACTCCAGAGGTAGTTTTGTCTATTTTCTGTCTCTTCCTTACAAGAAATAGTATACAGTATAGAGCAGAGATAAACAAGCCATAGTCCCAAGGCCAAATCCGGCCCACTGCTTGTTTTTGTAAATAAAGTTTTATTGGCACACTGCCATGCTCATTCCTTACTTGTCGTCTAATGGTTATTTTTGTGCTATAATGGCTGGGTTGAGTTGTTGGGACAGAGATTTTATGGGTGGCTGTACAATCCTTCTGACCCTTTACTGAAAACTTTTGCAGACCCCTGGCCTAAAGGAAGAGCGTACATGAGCTCTTTATCTCAAACCCAACTCTGCCATGCAGGAACTGGTCACTTTCTCAAGGTTTTAATGGCCCAATTCACGTAATGCTTAGAACAGCACCTGGTGAGCATGAAATAGATGCCAACCGTGGTTAATAAACAGCAGGAATCCAACAGACACACGACTAAGGACAGAGGAAACTGTTGATGTGGGAGAATGTCTTCCCATCAATTTTGCTTGGTCTTGTCTGCATTACTTGCCAAGCAATACTTGACTTGAAATGGTCTTCCGAGGATCTTGGTCTCCACTTGGGCTTTTCTCAGTCTCTCTTGGACCCCCAGGGGCTTCTCCCCTCACTGTTGGTTCTCTCTTCTCTAGTATCTCCTGATCCAAGGCCTCATCTTGGTCCTGCTTCTTAGGTATCCTGCTCAGGAAATGGCCCTTCTAGTGCCCCCAGTGCCTGCAGGGGTTCAAAGATGGGTCTCCCACCTGGTTCTCCCAACCTCCAGATTCTTAGATGTGATGAGATGTGCCAGCCACCCTTCCCTCAGAGCCAAGGGGAAAAAGGAAGGAGCGCCTATGTTCTAAAGCTGAAGCAAACTACAGTGGGCAAAGGAGGATGCTTCCCATACATTTTATCTCAATACTCTGTTGGCCTGAGGAGGGAGGGAGGGGCAGAAAAAAGAAGGAAATCACATACATCACACATCACACACACACACTTAAACATACAACCTCACACACCTCTTGTGGACAATGGACATACACACAACCGCACGCAGACACAGAACTGTTTGACATACAACCCCACACACCTGCAGAAATGCAACTCCAGGTATTACGCTAAGTGAAATCAGTCAGACAAAGGAAGACAAATACTGTATGATATCACTTATGTGTGGCATCTAAAATTTAAGACAAACTAGTGAGTATAATAAAAAAGAAACAGATTCACAGGTAGAGAGAACTAGTGGTTTTCAGCGGGGAGAGGGAGGGGGAGGAGCAATGTAGGGATAGGGGACTAAGAGGTACAACACAGAATATAGCCAATATTTTATAATAACTATAATGGAGTATAATCTTTAAAATTTACAAATCACTATGCTGTACACCTGTAACATATAATATTGTACATGATCTATTTCAATTAAAAAAAATGCAACTCCACTGAGCAGCATCAATCATACGATTCCTAAACACACACATGCACACACTTGACACATTCATCTTCGGATACACAACCCCATATACACACACGTTCACACCCCTGCATAACACTCCTTGTAAATTAAACTCCATACAGGCAGTGGCAGTCCTGCAGTTCACACACACACACACACACACACACAACTTGAGACACAAGACTCAAAACTTCAGACATCCAAATTCCTTCCCACATTTAAACATTCAGCCACACACACCTCTCTGGAAAGGCAAACCTATTCATAAATTTAGTCACACACACACCCCATCACCACCGCACACAACTTCGGACCCAGGCTCCTGCATCGGTGGCCGAAGTCTCAGTCACACCCAGGTCCCTCCAGAGTTGGAGGAATGAACCCTTTAATAGAGAACAGAACGAAGCCCTGGAAAGGGACCAGGCATCCGGCAGAGATGGAGACCTGCCCACAAGCAGAGGCCACGGATAGAGGGGTAGGATGAGAAGAGGGGGAGATGGACAGGAAGACCCCGGGGTACCTAAGGCGATAGGAAACTCACCAGGGCTGCCTGGAGGTGAAAGGAGGCGACGGCTCTAAGGGGCAGCAGCTGAGACAAAGAGCAGCGGAGAGATAGGAACGTGGGCGGAGGGGGCGCCCCACCCACCTGACCCCAGCGTAGGCCAAGCCGGCCTCGGATCCCCCTGCCCCGGACCTCAGAGCCCCGGCCCGGGCGGAGCCGCGGTGCTCCCACTCACCCGCGCCGGGAGCGGCGGCGGCGGCCTGCCCGCCCTCGGCCTGCGCGCTGCGCCCGGATGCAGGAGCCGGAGCCCCGCGAAGCGCCCGGCCCGGGCAGTGGGGACCCGCCAGAGACCGCGCGGCGCCGGCTCCGGGACTGAGAGGCGGAGGCACCCGCGCGGAGCCGGGACGCGCTGTGCCGCGGCTGGGATCCGCGCCGGCCCTGCGTTCACGTGGGCGTGGGGGCGCCGAGCGGCCGGAGCGGGGGGGCGGGATCCCCACCGGGATGCCCCCCGCCTCCCCCGCGCCCAGCCCAGGCTCCGCAGGCGCTCGGGAGAAAGGGCACCGCGTGTTTGCGGAGGGAGGGGATCCTGGGGTAGGAGGGGTGGGTGGCCTCTCTGGCGTCCAGCCCCCGCCCCGCGCTCAGAGCCGCGCCTCCGAACCCCCGCCTCCCGCCGCCTCCCGAGCCCTCCCGAGGTCTAACGTCCCTGGAGGGCGCCGGGACCTGGCCCTGGCACCGCCGGGCCCGCGCCCGCATCCTCGGCGGGCCTGAGCGGGTGGTAACAGCCCCCTCGTGGGCTCCGCTGCGCCGCTTCTCCCTCTTGGGTGCACATTCCATCCTTGGCCACTTGGCCGCTGTGCGAGCTTGGGCCACCCCTTCTCCCTCTCTGAGCCTGGTTTCCCCATTTAAACGGCGGACATGACTCTGCCGACCCCGCAGAAAATTAAAGCTGAGAAAATTAACGTGCGGGAGCTTGGAAATCCTCCGTGCAGCGTGAAGCACTGTGCAAATGGGAGACGAATCTTTGCTGTTAGTATTGTAATTAATATTATTCTCTGCTCTCTTTAGGGTACCCCGGGCAGTGTCGATTTTGCTTTTCTTCCCAAATGGCACTGAGCTGGTTGCTTCCAACATCTCCTACCGCCTCTGAAAGCTACTTGCCATTTTTAAGAGCTGAGAACAGAGCTCTGCGTGTGATAAAAACCCGATGCATGTTTGCTGTTATTATTGTCATCAAGCAATTGTTGATGGCAACTTCCTAGTCTAGGCAGGCTCTTTTACTTATACCTACACATTCGTATACGGTAACTATCACTACCCTCGTTTCCAGATGAGGGGGCAGGCTCTGAGAGAGGTTCAGTTACTTGACCAAGGTCACACAGCCAGGGAGCAGCCACCCCAATTCCAACTCTTTGTACAAACAGCCCTGACTCTCCTTGACACGTTGTAAAAGATAGTTGCAATGGGCGATCTGAAACTGTCAAGGGAACCTTTTGTCCTCCATTAACATTCAAATCCACTGAGTGCATCTTTTTACCCATGTATGATTTCAAAACATCATACACTAGACATTTGAAAAGTATTTGTTCCTGAATTATACAGATCATCCAAATATTAACACATTCTATTATTCAATATCAAGAAGTAACATTTGTTAACATGACCACTGATATCAGAAAAGGCTCTTACTGTTGATAGCTGTCAGTATCACAGGGTGAACAGAAGTTTTTCAAAATTTTAACTTTCACTTA